GTTAACCGAAATGGAGCTGCCTTGTTGATTTTGTTTAGTGGCTGACTCTTCAAGCTTGCACCAATTGGTTTACTTACACTCAACTCCATTAATCATGTTTGGACCATGTAACGGCATATGTGGTCTAGTTTGAACTAGATCTTGTTCCTTTGGTTGTCATTGGTGCCATAGGGTACCAAGTGACCTTTTCATTCTAGCTTTCGCTTCCGGTTATTCCTTTGGGTTGTGTGACCTCATGGAAGGTCATCTTAGGGTCTTAGAGGTGTGTTATTCCTTGAGAGACCATTGTCTTGTTCTTTTGTTTCCGTATCTGGATCCGTTATCGGGTCAATCTTCGGCTCATCACAGGACATACTGGGTTGTAAAATCCAGGGTCGTTACAGGAGACCTGGATGTGGTTGACTCTTAGGAGAAGTTTTGGGGGATTGTTGCTGGCTATGGCTTGTTTATGGAGTTTTCTCGTCCTAGTTATGGCTAGGCATAGTTTTAAGGAATCATAGTTCCAGTGACTATTTATGGACTGAAATTAAGGAATTTTGATTTAGCTTGGTGATGCCAAGTACGGTTTTGAGAGACTTATTTTATGACCTAGGTTGTTAGGATTTTAATGTGTGTGCCACGTGGTGGACCTATTTTTCGAGGATTTAGTGATCAGTGATAGGGATTTTGATCCGATGTTTAATTCTGGTGTGGTTTTGTAGTTAATCTGTTTCAGGGAGATATGAGGGACTTTCGATGAAATGTCTTGTAGTGAGGTTCGTTTTGATTCCTGGTGGTGTTGATTTATCTGTTAGGCTTTGGATTCTTGATTGATGTTGTTAATATGAGTGTTTTCAAACATTGGAGTTGTTGGTTTTGTTGTATTGAGGATTGAAACCTTAAGCTAGAAGGTACCTATAACATAGTCGTTAGGGTTTTGAAAATGGCCGGGATGTCGATGTCTTTGGTCCATGTCTCAACTCTTACAGAATACCGAGTTACCAGATTGCTTTTGGTAATGATGATTCACGTATCGAGAGGTTTCATCGGTAGACCTAGTAGGGGCAGGTTATGAACTAGTGCCTTATATTGTCATACTACCGTACAAGTTGTGTGTTTTGGGCGGGTGCTAGTTGCCTTCGATACTACCTTACTGACGAGTAAGATTGGGCGGGTGCTAGGTACTTTCATTGCTACCACACATTTGAGTACGTCGTGGGCGAGTTCTGGTCGCTATTCATACTGCCACATTGTCTTTGTTTTGTACCCTGATTTGATACGCGATTATCTTAGAGTTCTTTTGGTGGTTGTTTTTTGATCGGTATGATGGTTCTTCAGGAGGAGTGCTTACGGTTGTTGCTTCCGTTTCTTTATCTGACCTTGGGTTCTGTATGTGACCTTTGACTTGTCATGTGGCCATGTGGTCACTTTTCTTTTGAGGGGTTGTCCTGTCGTAAGCATGTGGGTGCGAATGACATTGGTTTGTGCGTTGTTTTTAATTTTGGGATTGCTTTCATAGCATGTTGTGTGGGATACTCAGAGATATACTCCGTAGTTGTCTTGGTTTCGCCTTTTGTTTGTTGGGCTTGGATTTCGGGGACGAAATCCCTTTAAGGTGGGAAGGTTGTAATGACCCGGTCATTTTCTTCCTTTCATTTTTCCTCAAATTTTGCGAATAAATTTTTTCTGTTGCCTTTTCTATTCTGTGTTTGGTTTTTCATCACTTAGTGTCATCTCGAGTGCTCAGAAATGGTTTCTGAGACTCTTTCCTTTGGATTGACAACTTCCTTTAAGGACCGAGTCATTTCCAAATTTTTCATTTTTCGATACTATTCACTTTTCGTCCTTTTCCCTATTTTGTCTTTTTCTCGTTTGTCACTTTTTGGCACAACCTCACTTTTCGTGCTCGGAGTTGGTTTTTGACTTCACGTATCTTCATTCTAAGTGGTTTCCATGAAATACGTATCTTTACTTTTGCAGTAAAGTACTTTGGTTGCTCCCGGTGTCCATAGGGACATGGATGCATAGTTTTTCAGAATCTTTTTATTTTCTTGGAGTGTTTTTCGTAAATATCTTTTGAAGATATTTTATTTCAGGGGTTTTTAAGAAAATATTTTTGGAATATATTTTCACTCTGTGTCATTAGTGCAGTTTTTACTTTTTGAAGGGGCCATTGTGCAATTAATGAAAGTTATTAAAAAAAAGGATCGTTTTGAGCCTGGATCCTCGTATGGGATTCATTTTCACTTTTTTTCGAGTCGTATACTCTTAGAATTGTCTTCTGGTCGTTTTTCCCCAGTTTCAGGATTTTTTGCCCCGACTGCCGCCGAACTTATTCGGGTATATCTCTCAGATCGGGACTCAGTTTTCAACGATGTTACTTCTGTTGTTCATATTTTCTCATTTTAGTTCTTTTTCATTCACGGAGTTTTGCCGTTTGAGTGCGTCTGCTCAAATTTCACTTTTCCGGACCCAGCGGGGCCCTTTAGGAGCACTTTTAGGGTTTTCCAGTAAATAGGGAGTTATAAAATTAAAAAGTGATCTTCCCCTCTCTTCATGCATGGCCAGAAGCTTCCATGGCAGCCCAAGGGGGCTGCCACCCTTCTTCTCTCAATTAAACCTTCTTCCCTTTGTTAAAAAGTCGTAGTATCTTCGTGTTTTATGCTTGTCTTGACTACGCGTATCTTTCCCCCTTATTAGAATCCATTTTTGGCCATTTTTTGAGTTCGGGTTTGAGGTCAAGTCTGGATATGTGTATGTTCTTGTAGTTTAATGTTCACCGTGTTGTCCCCGACATAACCTATGAGTATCGTCGAATTCGGAGCACTTTTCTTTCAGTGGGGATTTGAGATTTTCATCATAAATAGAGGTAAGGAGTGTTATAGTTTCATATTTTTGTTGTCTTGCATACTAATGATGCTTATACAACTTGTATGCACACTTTTGTTCATAATCTAGAATTTAATTTAATTATTTTCTTTGTGTAAGATTTAATTCTTATGATGATATTCAACTTAGAATTAAATTGTGGCATGCTAGAAATTTAGGTCTTGGTTGGTGGTTGATATATATAAAATTGGGATTATTTGAATAAGAATTGTAACTTTTATTTAATATTTATCTTTTGTGAAAGTTTAATTCACATAGTTGTATCAAGCATGAAATAAACTTGTAATGTGATGTTAAAGTAGGCCTTGGTAAGTTCTTGAACATATGTTAATTTGAGAGCATTTGGAGTTGTTTAAAAATCTAGAGGAAATTAATTAATTAGCTTAATTAATTTTACTTTATGTGTTTTAATCACTTAATTAGTTATTTGATGTTATATATGTAATGACCATGATATGTCATTCAACATATATAAATTTGAGGTTGTTTGGAATTAATTTGGAATCTAGAGAATTTAATTATTTTTATTTAATTAAATTCTATCTAATTGCTCCATGGATTTAATTTTGTTTTAGAAGTTCTTTCTATGTTTAAATCATGGACTTAGACTTGTTGTATATTCACTTGGTTACATTTTGATCATTGAAATACATAGTTGTTATATTTATATTCATGAGAATATGTTTTCCTTATTGAATATATCATTGTCTTGTGTAATGAGCTGCACTTTTTGTATGTGACATCTTTCATGTCATAGTAGTTATGGACTTAGAACATGTATTGTATGTGTTTCCAATTTTGGTTGTGCATGGTAGATAGTTGATTATCTTATATATACATGTTGATATACACGTTGTTGCACAACTAGTTGATTTTGGAAACTTGAGGATGTTGTTGTTAGACTAAAGCCAGGACATGGTTCTAGTACAGGGGATTGTCACTCTACAAGTCTAGTGCGCACATAGGGAGGTTACCCGTGGGCTAATAACCTAAAGTAACTATAGTGTTGGTCTGATCCGGCGTGACGTCCAAGTATCCACCTAGTTTGATTTCGCATTTCATTTCAAGTTGATAACTAGATGATATCGTAACTTGTTGTTCCTTATTTGATTTTCCATTTTCCAATGTTGGTTAAATTGCATCGATATTGTGACTTGTGTTTTATTGTTCTAATGTAGCTTAGGATAATTCCTTAAACTCATTTGGAACATAGATGCTAGGTGGCATGACCCACTTTACTTGTTTTCGTATCTTAGATTGCAAATTGATACTGTTGAGAACCTATATCTTGTCGCGTTGTATAGTATGATTCTATATGGTTAAATTGCATGAATGATGTGATTTATGCTAGAAATGATCTAAGGTAGCTTAGGATGCTCCCTGAGTCTCGTTTTAACATAGACGTTAGATGGCATGAACCCCTTGACATGTTTTACCTTAAGGTGATAATTTTGTAAAATGCTAGGTCGATGCATGATCATTTCCTACGAGTAGCTTTATGTTACTCATCCTGAAGCTACTGAGGATTTGTTTCAGGTATGAAGGCTTGGTTCATGATACTCATCATTCCTTGGATGACTTGTAACTTTTAAGTTTCCATTTCCACTACAACAGATCTGGCTTTTTCCAGCGCTCAAAATTACCAGCGCTTTTTCAAAAGCGCTAGTAAAGCCTGTGTCGGTTAGGCTTTACCAGTGCTTTTGAAGAAGCGCTGGCATAGGGTATTTACTAGCGCTTTTTCAAAAAGTGCTGGTACAGGGGTTATTTTAATTTCTTTTTCATTATTTTTTTTCCCCCTATGCCAGCACTTCTTCAAAAAGCGCTGGTACTGGGGTCATTTTATTTTTTTTTTAATTATTTTTTTCCCCTATGCCAGCGCTTTTTGAATAAGCGCTGGTACTGGGGTCATTTTAATTTTTTTTTATTATTTTATTTTCCCCTATGCCAGTGCTTTTTGTTCAAAAAACACTGGTACAGGGGTCATTTTAATTTTTGTTTTATTATTTTATTTTCCCTTATGCCAACGCTTTTTCAAAAAGCGCTGGTACTGGGGTCATTTTATTTTATTTTTTATTTTTTATTTTTTTTCCCCCCCTATGCCAACGCTTTTTGAATAAGCGCTGGTAGAGCGGTCATTTTTTTTTTTTTTTTTTTGTTTACAGCTACTAAATGTCATCCAATATAACACAAATCAATATAAAAATACCATCCAAATTGTTCTTACATAATACAACCACAAGTTAACCTGCTACCAATATAAAAAATACCATCGAAATTGGCTACTAATTGATAAAGCTGGTAAATGTCAACCAAAAAGCCAAAATGTATACTAATACAACCACAAGTTAACCCGCCAATATGAAAATACCATCCAAATTGTCTAGATAAAGCTACTAAATGTCACACAAAAAGAATTAAGAATTTTTGACAAATGTAGTACAAGTTTTTCAAAAAGGACCCATCCAAGGGGAAGGAAATTCAAAAAGCACAACCACGACCCCATCTTCAGCTCCAAATTCAACTTCAACAAGTCTTCTTGCCAATTTGATTTGAATTACCCTACATTTTTTTATATATTCATTAAGCGCACATTGTAATAAATGAAAATTTAACATATATATAAGAGAAATTAAAAGTTCATAACCTTAATTGAATTGCCATCAAGACTAGAAAATGAATTTGGGGATACTCTAGGAGGAGCATTTAAAGAATCAGAACCCTTCAAAATAACAAAACAAAATACATGAAATCTTGGCATAAGTAAACATATATTTAGTAAAGAGTAAAATTAATAATAAATATACCTGTCCACTACAATTTTGTTGTTGCATCTGCATTAGCATAGCCAACTGTTGTTGTAAATTTTCCAACTTGTTGTCGTAGTTGGCTCTTAAATTTTCCAACTTGTTGTCATAATCGGCTTGCATTTTTGAAATCGTCTCCTGCAACTCTACACGTGCAGCACGTGCCTCCTCCTGAGATTTTTTGACATTATTAATCAGTTTAGCTTTACTAGGAGAGGGCCCCCAAACATCGCTTGGTGTAGGCCCGAAGCCAAGCATCCGCACACGACCAGTTCTCTTTTTTCCTCTCACAATGGAGAACAAATCATTGGAACTGCCAATAGGCTAGTCAGAGTAACTTTTTTGAAGTTCTCTTATGTTTTCCTGCCAAAAAAAATAATAACTTTGAACTACCATGACATACTGCTATGAAACATCCAGACAAATCTAATGAAATGATAGAACAGGAATGCAGAAACAGCTGAACAGAAAAGTAATTAGATAACAAATTAGAAATGACAAAAGCCAAGTGTTCTAAAACAACAGTGCATCACACAATATGAAAATATAGTTGTAACATCCCTTTGAACTTTCATACAATCTCTAAAGCTTCAAAATATGCTGCGATAGGATCCGTGTAACAACCCCTAAGAGAAACTTGTTTTTTTTTTTTTTCCTTTTTTTTTTGGGTGGGGGTTGGGGTTTTATTAGGTGACATTTTTAATCCTCAATTACTTGAACATTCATCTTTTCCGATGAAAATCAGGTGATTAAATGGCTTCCTTTAGAAGAAGGTTGTGTTTGGAAATTGGGATACCATGTTTGTAAAACTACAGCAATATTAGAGTAATGTACTGTATTTTTAACTTTTCCATTAGATGTAAATTTAGCTTTCAAAAAGTTTTTATTATCTACATTCTACCTAACTTTTGTTAATTACTCAATCTTGGACTTGTTTTAAAGGCTGCTTTCAATTAGATTGAGTACAGATCTAGCATTTGTCATAATTTGAACAAAATTGCTTCTTAAACTCAAATCCACATTTGAGTAATTTGAACTCTACCATTAAGGCTCCTCTAATGTCACCAAATCTGTTTTTTATTTTTTTATTTCCTTTTCTCCTTATAAATTATATAATTACAAATGTTCTTATCTATGTTTAAACAAATCACAGATCTTGTTTCTATATCCTATTAAGAAAAAGAAAAATGAGGCATCAAGTTTTGGATTATGTAGAAAACAAAGATACAATGCAGTGATGTTTCTAAAGAATTGTCAAGTTGGGTAACTGCTGACAAATTGTTCAGTGATCCGGAAAATAACTGTATTTCTTAGTCAGTTGTCTCAACAAAATTTTCAATGTAAAGCCAAAACTAATCCACCATATCCTCAAATTTTTTGACTGGAAATAGGTATTTTATTGAGAGACTACATAAGCGCCAATTATTTGAGCATGTAGTAGAATAATCTGAACATTCAGTTCTAGCTAAAGTCTGAACTCTACCACTTTATTTTATTTTCTCTATTTTAAAAATTCAGCTGCTAATTTTTCAGTTATGCTGCTCTATTGTTGCAATGGTATTGTTCTGGTTGTACCGTTTATAGCATATCATGGTATGCTCTATAAGTTTGAACACAGGTTGGGAAGTATTTTTTAAAACCCTAGATTCTAAATAAAGCACAAAAGAACTGAAATCCCAACAAGCTATGAATATGTAATGCTTAAATATACATGTGTATGTATAATATATATATATAGACCTAAGCTTTCATGACAAAAACAAAAGGATTTAAATGAAGTAAATAGAGAAAAGATGAATGTAGCTTCACAAACATCAACCCTTGGGAGTCAGAGAGTCAGAGGAAAAGCAACTGCTAACTTTTATGTATGGATTTTGTTTTAAATTTTTTTCTAAATCAACTAATCAGGCTCTGTAATTCTTGTTTTGCAAACTAAATCCTATTTGGTGAAATTTTTTATGATCTTTTTTATATAAATTTTTTTTTTACAATATAAAGTTACAAAATTTGCATTGCATTTTGAGGTAATCACCGCAATCTACTTTTTATTTCAGCAAAAAAAAAAAAAATTTAATTTCTATAACTTCTATTCTTGTTTTATTATTATTTTTTATTTTTTTTTTGTTGTCCATTCTATATGTCTACAAGAAAATTTGAATCTGGGCATGAAAAAAAAAAAAAAAAAAATGAATCTGAATTGGATTAGAAATCTACAGAGATTGAATTTGAAACAATTTTTATCAACATGCCAAGCTTTTTGAAGATGGAAATCTTTTTAGAATTGAAAAAAAAAATCACAAGAAGAACTTTGACAAGCAAAAGTAGTTAATTGGTCAAAAGAAGAGATAGTCCTTAATCAGTCAATTGTCTAAAGAAACATTATTAATTAACTAAAATTGAATTAAACAAAGTTTATTTTAATTGATATATTTTGATTTAGCCCACCCCATTGAAAAATCCTAAATCCGCCCTTAGCTCTAGCTTTTAGATGCTTCCATTTGTAAGTCTCTCTCTTGTTGATTACTCATTGCAGATTTGAGTTTCGAAGGAAGATGAACAGGGTGGAAATGGGTTTGGGGGAAAATCGGTGGGCACTTGGTTGAGGCAGTTCATCGACTTCACTCCAAAAAGAGTGTCAATATAATGTTTTGTTAATGTTTCTTCCTTATACTACATCGACATTTGGTCCATTTGGACCACTATAGGGTACTTTATAGATCATGAACAAGTGTTTAGTGGCCTTTACATAGTTTGTATATAATATTTGAAGTTGTCTACGTTCAAAAGACCATTGCCACAATATATGAGTAAGAAATTAACACAAACAACAAATAGCAAATACTTTTCCTCCACAACACAAATCAATCAACAAGAAGCCTCTACATACAATGATCCCATACTCCCATACTATTCAACAAATACAAGAAAGTAAATTGCCTCCACACGGGCCGATGATTTAAAAATTGGTCACTTCAAGGCACGTAACCCCTTAATACAGCGTAAAAAGTTTAAAAATTGGTCACTTCAAGGCACGTGACCCCCTTTTTGCAAAATGGAAGCGTGAAAACTTAAAATCATCTCCGAAGCAACAGCATCAATAGCTTTGCCATCCTTATTTACATGTGTGCGGATGAATAAATCTGCACGAGAAAGCTGAATACCTTCGTCTTCCTCAATCTATAAAAGAAACATAGACATTGTGATATATATTATTTACCACTAACATTTATAATCATTCAACGACATAAGAATTGAAATAATTTATATTTTCCATAAAAACTTCAACTAACCTCGGCAGAAACACGTGCAAAGCTTTTTATCCCTGTAGTATGCATCATTGTCTGCTTCCCACAACGTTCTTTATTTTTTTGCTGACCTCCTACAAAAAGTGAGAAAAAGTAAACATTCTTTGAGTAAAGAACATTCCACCTAAAATAATAACTGAAAGCAGGTAAACTATAAATTCAACTCATTGAATTCAAAAAACATTGTGATAGATGGAGGATTACCTTCGCCATAAGCGTACCCCAATGCCTAACCAAAAATTCCTAATGCTCCTTTTCAACATCAGGTGGTGGGTTTGCCAATCTTTCTTCATCGGTATCCTTAACCGAGTAGTATTCATTTTTTAATTCACACTTGTACCCCTCCATTTTTTTTCCGATGGAGGATAATGTCCACTGTTTTGACATGATTCCCACATCATATTTTCCCTGAAAATGTGATAATTGCTACATGTTAGTCCACTTTTTCCATAAAAATTATTTTAATGTTATTGAAGGGTTTTACCTTTACAATATTCCACATATCCTCCTTCAGCCGTTTAGGCATCTCCCACCAAGTTTTGTAGCACAAAGGAGCTAATTTACCCTTCCAGGCAAGTGTTCCCAAAAAATTAGTATATGTACCATTTCCAGGACCGATCGGCTATCCAAACTTATTAACCTTAAACAAAAATTAACAATTGTAGATGTTTAGTACAAAAATAAAGATAGAAATCCTTTTTTCTCCTTCATATTGAATATAGTCTAATTATGTAAACTATATAAGATGATCTATATATATATGTACCTTAAAGGTAATAAGGTTGTCGCGTTCATGACATTCTTGCATCGTGTCGGGCCCCGTCTCTTCTTCGGCGGTGGTTGTGATGATTTTAAAGTTGAAGCTTCGGTATTTTGTTCACTCACTTTTTCCACTTCACTAACCGTTCGTTTCATTGTCAGCTTATTATTTATCCTTCTTGGAAAAGCCTCCAAAAAAAGTGAGAATCAGTTAAGAGAATGCAATCAAATTGTTAAAAAAAGCGATCCAGGAAAAACCAATAAAAAGAAATAACAAATACCTCAAAACTTTAGGATATTTATGGTTGTCCAATGGAAATTATATAAAACCATTCTGTTTTGGTAAAATCGTTGATTGCACTTATACAATAATGTGCCAAGAATAGATTAAAACATATTAAACATATATAAGCACGCAAAAAAACTAAATCAGTTTTCATGGGAAGCGTACATGTGCATGCTACAAAATAATATATTAATGAACTAATGAAACTCATAAGGAATAATTTTAATATATAGTCAGTTTTGTGGGATTCCCTATTTGGGTCTTTAATATTGCTATCACTTTTGTCATGGAACACAATCCATCTGTTTGGACCATTGGCTGGGACATGAACCTTCTAGCTGCTGCCTATGCTGTAAGCATTCCCTATATATATATATATATATATATATATATATACACACGTATGAAATAGTAAACTATATAAAAAATTAACTTTTTAATGACCTACAAGGTATAGTGTCATCAAGCATTGCATACTATGTACAAGGTCTGGTCATGCAGAAAAGGGGGCCTGTCTTTATGACTGCTTTCAGCCCTCTGATGATGATCATAGTGGCAATCATGGGCTCTTTTATCCTGGCTGAAAAGATATATGTTGGAGGGTAAGTTTCTCTTTAATTAGCGGAATACTTAATTTTATCAACTGAGGAAGATAAATATATTTCCCCAGTTAAGCCTATAATGCAAAAAGCTTCCCACTATTTAATTTCCTATTTCATTCCTATAATTTTCAACAATAGATATGTATATATATATATAAATATATATTTAACTATCAGTGATTCTAAGGAGCGAATTATAATTAAACTTTCACTATCAATCTCAAAAGTGATTTTAATTGAATTTAATTTAACCCACAACTGATGTTCTCTACTTGCTGGTTCAGTGTTCTTTTTTCTTTTTCTTTTTTTATTAAAAATTATTTTTTTAGTAATATATGACTTTTAGAAGGTGACTATGTCTGATTATCAGAAAATTTGAAACAACATGTGTAGATAAATTAAAATTAGACCGTTTTGTGGTTTTGAATTATTTTTCTAAACCCAGTCAAACATCAATGCTAATATAAATATGAATATAGATATAAAAAGCAATCCTAACCAAAGCAACCAAACATCAAAATAGTCTTACAGAGAGAAACTAAAACAATCCTAACCAAAGTCTGTATTATAAAAAATCTTATGTACAGTAAAAGATCAACTATATATATATATATATACTAAGTACGAAAAATTCGTTTGGAAATAAAATAAAAAAAAAAATTCAAACCAAAAATTCATTTCATAAAAGAAAAAAAAACATTAAAAAAAGAAATTTGCTTATGGATTGGAACTTACTCAGAAATTGCTGAGAGATCGAGACAGATGAGAGACGAGACAGAGGAGAGACAGCCTGAAGAGAAGCCTAGGGCTTCAAATTTGTAATCTCAGATGAGAGAATGCCGAAAGAGAGACGAGTTAGTAAACATCAATCAAGGGCTTCAGCTGAGAAATGGAGATCGAGCAGTGAGAGATCGAGACAGGGTAGAGGAGTCTTGCAGCTGAGATGGAGATCAAGCAGTGAGAGATCAAGATAGAGCAGTGAGAGATCAAGATAGAGCAGTGAGAGATCGACATAGAGCGGGTTAGCAAACATCAATCAAGGGCTTCAGCTGAGAAATGGAGATCGAGCAGTAGAGATTGAGACAGAGTTATGACAAGAACAATGAAACTTTTGAAGTACCCACCGGAAGGTTGGGCCAAAACCTTAAACCTTCCACAAAGTTGCTTTAAAACAAGAAAAAGAAATAGAGAATATTGATGCTTCATTCATATTTTACACACACTAAAACCTTAGTGCTAAAAATGCAAATGCAATTAATCACGTATATGAGATGAACATTTTTTTCTTTCAAATTCAGCGAGAGAAGATCCTTTTGCTTTCATTTACCAAAAAAAAAAATGGTAAACATAAGATAGAAGATAGACCAAACAGAAAGGGGAAAACCTAACCAATTGATTTTTAGGTGAAGTTTAGACCCATTTGTAAACTAAAATCAGAAAAATTAATTGAAAATAAATTAATCAATAAAGTAATCTGAATCCAAGTACAAACAGAAATCTCATAACCCAGAAAACGAAAATCAAGAAAATGAAATCACAGACAATAGAAGACAGAGTCACAGAGTTACCTCAACGCACATATAAGCGCAGTGGCGGCAAAGAAACGTAATAAGGGTTGAAACTCCAGAGAGAGATGGTGATGAATCAAAAGGCAAAATATTTATTAGAGAGGGGAGTCTTGCAGGTGAGCTCGAGATAGACCAGAGCGAGAAGGTAGAGCAGAGAGGAGAGACGGATGAAGTAGCTAGGGCAAAATGAAATTGAAATGGGGAAAGTGGAATGTTGTAGTGTTAATGGACCAAAAAAAACGACGCAGTTTAGGCACTAAATATTCTATATATATAAATAAGCGGAGGAAAAAAAGTGGAGGGAAAAATTGGAGGGAAGGGGAAAAATTGGAGGGAATGGAGAGCCCTTTACCAGCGCTTTTATTTAAAGTGCGGGTACAATTACACTCATACCAGCGCTTTTTTTCAAAGTGATAGTACTGTAACACCTATACCAACGCTTTTTTACAAAGTGCTAGTACTGTAACACCTATACCAGCACTCTTACAAAAGCGCTGGTATTAGTTCACCTATACCAACGCTCTTCTAAAGAGCGTTGGTAAAAGTCTAATATGTTGTAGTGTTCATACAAATGTTAGCATGAAATGTCATTTTGTAGCCTTATATATTAAAACTTGTATCCTTAATTACAAATATATAATGTGTACCTAAGTACACTTTTTGGATACTTATTTTGTCTGTATGACATGAGGCCAAGGGCCATTAATTCTAAGGTTTATAAATATGTTTTTTTTTAAAAATTGAGATTTTTGTACTTGTACTATTCATCGACTTTTTTTTGAAAAATGTGTCGACCGATCCGAAACTTCCAGGGGCCTTGTGGGTGTATTTTAATATTGCATTTTCAATTTAGACAATTTAAAAACCTCTTGAAGCCCCATTTCTTTTCCTTTGGCAGCAACTCGGAAAGATTTTAAACTTCTTGACCTGATTTTCTTGGAGGTATTCTGGGCATTTTACAATGCATTTTCTTTATTTCCGTCCACTTTGTCGGATAGAAAACTTGATTTTTAGGGGACGGGGGGTTTCTTCTTCGTGTTTTTCCAGAAAAATTCATTTGATGGCCCATTTTTGCTCTCAGTCGTGGACAGATCCTGTAGCAGCTTTTTGACCCTCTTGACCGCTTCTGATCTAGGGGCAATTTGGGTATTTCTCAATGACTTTTTTGTGTTTTCATTCATATTGTTGGGTAGAAATTTTGTTTTTTTTTAGGGGGGGGTTTCTTCTTCGTATTTTTCTAGAAAAATATGTTTCGGACCTCGTTTCGGCTCTCAGTTCTGGCTAGAACTTTTCTTCCCCTAGCATGTCATGGTGCTTATCGAGGTGCTCGTGTCGATGTCGTGACATCAACTTTTATTTTCCCTCGTTCTCCTTCGTCCGGACTCCAAATCGGGTGAAATTTTTTTTGAACTTGATTAATTTTTTGCTGCCTTTCCAACAATGTGCTTGGTTGTACCCAGATCTTCCTAAATAATTACCAATTTACCCTTTTAGCCTTAAGGGCTCGCTTCCCTTCGTCATGCCATTTCTCCTTCGTTCGGACTCTAAATCATGTGATTCTTGAGTCCATATTGATTAGTTTTTTGTTGTCTTTCCAGCGGTGTGCTCGGTGGCACCTGAATCCATGTATTTTGCCCCTGAGGGCTAAATTGTTACTTTTTTAGTCTTTTGTTTCCACGTCAGTTCTCATTGAGTTCCAGACCTCATGGAAGGTCATCAAAGTGTATTTAAAGATTCCATTTTCAATTTAGACAATTTAAAAACCTCCTAAAGCCCCATTTCCTTTCCTTTGGCAGCAGCTCGGAAAGATTTTAAACTTCTTGACCTGATTTTCTTGGGGGTATTCTAGGCATTTTACAGTGCATTTTCTTTGTTTCCGTCCACTTTGTCGGATAGAAAACTTATTTTGGGGGGGGGGGGGGGGGGGGCGGGGGTCTTCTTCGTATTTTTCCAAAAAAATTCATTTGATAGCTTGTTTTTGTTCTTAGTCGTGGACAGATCCTGTAGTAGCTTTTTGACCCTCTTGACCTCTTCTGATCTAGGGCAATTTGGGTATTTCACTGTGAGTATTTTGTGTTTTCATTCACGTTGTTGGGTAGAAAATTTGATTTTAGGGGGGGAGGGGGGGGGGTTTCTTCTTCATATTTTTCCAGAAAAATTCGTTTCGGACCTCATTTCAGCTCTCAGTTCTGGCTGGAAGTTTTCTTCCCCTAGCATGTCATGGTGTTTGTCGGGGTGCTCGTTTCGACATCTTGACATTGACTTTTGTTTTCGCTCGTTTTCCTTCGTCCGGACTCCAAATCGGGTGAAATTTTTTTTTAACTTGATTAAATTTTTGCTGTCTTTCCGACGGTGTGCTTGGTTGTACCTAGATCTTCTTGGATAATTACCAATTTACCCTTTTAGCCTTAAGGGCTCATTTTTCTTCGTTATACCGTTTCTCCTTCGTCTGGACTCTGAATTATGTGATTCTTGAGTCCATCTTGATTAGTTTTTTGTTGTCTTTCTAGTGGTGTGCTCGGTGGCACCCGAATCCATATTCTTAGAAATGATTATTTTGCCCCTAGGGGCTAAATTGTTACTTTTCTGATCTTTTGTTTCCGCGTCAGTTCTCATTGAGTTCCGGACCTCATAGAAGGTCATCAAAGTATCTTAGAGGCATATTGTGCATTGGGAGACCATTGTCTTATTTCTTGTTTCCACATCTGGATCCGCTTTTAGGTTAATCTCTAATTCATCACAGGACGCATTGGCTTGAAGAACCAGGGTCATCACATTTGATGCATGTCTGTGTGTAGTTAAATTGAGAATCTAGTGATGGTTATACATTATTTTTATTATTGGATACTCTTGTGAATTGATTTGATGAATTATGCTCATGCTTGATGGATTGTTCTACACCCTTCGTTAATTAGTTTAATTTCTTTGTCTTAGTGTAATTGTAGTATAATTGCATTTTAATTCCTAGATTAGGTGGACAATCCATGCTTTTTGTTGCAAGATGTATATTTCTCTAGATTAAAGTGTGTTACAATTGTGGGTTTATTGAATGATTAGTTCCCCAACTTAATGAGTTGTACTATATTCTAGCATAAGTAGACAATTCATACTTGTTTTTGTCACCCATGCTCATTGTTTCAACTGGTAGCTCACACACACACACACTTTGGTTACAACATTGAATTCCCCCAAATTGTTAAAAGCTTAGAGAAAAAGCTTAGTGGTGATTCCTATGTGGTGGTGCAGTCGCGTTGCACCAAAAGTTTGCAAAAAGATGAACTAAGAGTGTGAGTGTGCAATGTGGCCAAGTTTTAAATTTATAAATGTCACTACTACCTCTAACTAAAAATATAGCTAGGGTGAGTAGGGATCGTCCTAAGGGATTGGTGGGTCGTGTTACTATGGAAACAAGATTAGGGTTAGTAGGTCGAGTGATCAAAATGTGGTTAGTTTGGTTGATTAAACTACAATTAAGACTAAACAAGATCAATATAAAACAAGTAATTAAAAGATAGAGAAAACAACAGAGAGAGGTCTTGGGACTTAAAGGTCACCACTAAGTATCACCTTTCTATACACTCAATTCATAATTAATGAGGGGGAAAACATATGTTACAACAATAGTGAGTACGTGTGGTTGTTTCAACAAGCATGAATGACCAATTAAGTATATATTGTCTAAACAACACAATAAATAGCAGAATATATTAAACTAAGCCATTAATCCTTCATTTAAGCTCACAATCTAAGCACATCACATGATTAGAAGAATATACTACTTGCATTCATAAGTATGGAACATCAAACAACAAGTATAGATTGTCTTCCCATTTAACAACTAAGGTAACTACACTACATCTAAGTTAATGATATGAAAATTAAACTAATTAAACTAAGGGAGAGGCACAATCCATCAAGAAATGAGTATGAACCATCAAATAAACCACAAGAGCATTCTATTAAGCACTATGTCTTGACAATCTCCAGATCTATAGCATCAACACACATAGATATGCATCAACAACACAAGAGCTAGAGATAAACACATAAACATCTATTTTAGCATACATAGACATATTGATAGAATGAAATGATCAATTGGAAGAATTAAACCACACAAATCATTGAATAAACAAGATCTATGTATATAAAAATGTCAAAACATGTAACACAAATCCCCTCAAAAATACATAAATTAAGGTAAAGAAGGCATGCTTATGGCTAACTCTAGCCCCAAAAGGATGTCTAGCCACTCATGAATGGTGTCCTTCAACCTTCAAGGGCTATCTCCATGGTAGAAATGCTCTTTTTCTTGAGGTAGATGGAAGACTTCCCAAGAATGTGTCTCTAGCCTCCTCTTGTCTTTTCTTCCTCTCTAAGAATGATATCAAATGTTGTATCTAAAAAACATATATGTAAAAGTGGCTCATAATCCTTATATAGGTAGCTCAAATGTCACACCCAATGGTCTAGGCTCATACACAAGGGCTCCTTTAATGATTGCACTATGAGACAACTTTTAATAAGCTGAAAATTGATTTAATTCGCACTTGAGAGGGTTCGATCGATCGAACCTATGCCAAGATCGATCGAACTTGGCTAAGATTTATCAAACTTTGGCTGGATCGATCCTCCCATGGCGGCGCCTTTTTGGATAAAGACAAATCAGAGATATTTTTGAGATATTTTGGGAAAGAGACAAAAGTGGTAGGTGGGGTGGTATAACAGGATAAGATGGAATCTTTTCAATCAATCTGATAAATGTTAGATCGATCGAACATTGTGGGATCTTTGGATAAAGACAAAAGAGCTTGGATCCATCTTGGAGTGCAGAGATCGATCTATGTCAGAGCGATCGAAGAAAATCTGTGATCGATCGAACTTTGCTGAACTTCCACCACTTGCTTCATTTTGCTTCCACTTTGCTCCTTTCTTTCATTCATCTCAAGATTGCTTCAATTATGCTCTTATTTGGCTGAATTAGCTTATTTT